ATACTCACTTTTATTAATGAATTATTTTTATTTTGTTTAATTAACAGCGCATTGAGAGCGACGAGAGCCGGACTACCTATCCGTACGCTGGCTTTGCTTGAGTTGATTCGAGAGATGAGGGGTCGGTATGTGTTGGAACAGTACAAAGTCAATCATACCGTACATACCGTACACATGGATAAGCTTCAGGTGATAACAGTTGATGATTGTCTCCGCAATTGGTTTCCCATTCTGTTCACAGCATATATTCTCTCTATTTTTGCCGTTATTTTTGAAAAATTGTGTTAAAAAATAAATAATTCATAAAACTTATTAAATATGGAAATAAATATGTTAAATTTATTACAAGTAAATGATTATACCGTAGCATACATTAATTACACAAAACCATGTTAAATCAAATTTGATTCATATAAAATTACAAAAATTAATGTACATAATAATTCCATGTTTAAGCAGGTACATTTCCTTTGTAACTACTGTTATTCATTGGCTTCCGTTTTAACCATTTTTATATCACAATATTTACAAGTATTGCACAAAATATATAACAAATTACTATTGTTAACAGACTTATAACTTCGGACAAAATATCAGTCTTTTTCAATGGACGTAATACATGGATTTCAAAGTTAACAAAACTGGAGTTTGAAATTAAATATTTAAATAAAGATGTTGGGTTAATCACCGGGGATATTTTAGCCCTTATTGCAATGTAAATTTTTATGAACAAAAAGTTAATATTATTGTTAATGATGTTCATATTTAAATAATTATAATCCCCAAATATGCCAAATTTAAGTAAATATTTTTTATTTAGCGTATTTAATTACTATAATTTAGTTCTTGATTAAGCTAATTATTTAAGTTAGTTATAATTTTGTACAAAATTACGTTAATTTTTATCACAATTAAGTTTATTTGGTTCTAATCTAGTTAATTTTGACAATAATTAAGGTAATTTTGATCACAATTTAGTTGATTTCATTCACAATTAGATTAATTAGGGTCACAATTAAGTTAATTTGGTTCAGAGTATAGTTAATTTTAACAACAATCAAGGTAATTTCGATCATAATTTAGTTAATTGTCTTCACAATTAAGTTAATTTGTTTCAGAATATGGTTAAGTTTGTTTGAAATTAAGTTATTTATTAAATTGTGAATAAAATGAAAATTATATATTTTTATATATCAAATTAAGGACATAATCCTATGAGCTTGGCTTAACTTCTTTATCAAAGTTCTCAAGTTTAAAGTTCAATTTTGGTGCCTTAGAAATCTAAGTCAAAAACGTATTGATATTTTGTCCGAAGTTATAAGTCTGTTAACAATAAAATATTGAAGTTATTTATATACCGGTACTAAAAAACAATATCATATGTTAGAAAAACTATTATTTATAAGAATTGATAATACAAAATACATCATGTATCATGGTGAAGTTGTTGACAAATTTAGTGTTATTTAGTATAATTTAAAATTATTATTGATACCCAACTACTTATAAAATTATTATATTTATAAAATTTTAATGTACCAGTATTATTTGTATAATCTACAAGTATTATGTACCGGACTAGAGACAAGTTATATAACATAAATTATAAGGGCATTTTATATCCATAAATAATAAAATATTAAAATTCTATAATTGCTTTTGAATATGAATAATACACGGATTTAATAATAAGATATAGTATAATAAGTATAATAATTTTAGTGCAAATCATTATAAATAAGTTGATAACCTTTCAGATGGTAATTATTTAATAAATTTCTGAAAATCTAATCAAAATTAGATTTTCACTGCAATTATTTATTACAACAGAATATTCGTAACATACATTTATAAACAGTTACCAGAGTTATAATTTAGATAATTATATTATTTGTCAATAAAATATACTAGTAGTTATGCTAAATAAATTTGGTTAATTTCCAAAGCAATTAAATTAAACTTAGTACTTTATTTATTTTTATTACAATTTATCCAAATGTTATATACAGTAGATACTAGTAACTAGAGTATTATATTCAGTTTATTGTATACAATAGTCCTTGCCTAAATGTTTTAAGTTAAATACATTTTAATATTACTTAATAGTTATTTTAATAAATATAACAAATTATAACTTTCATTATTTATTTATAAAAATATTGTATTTATTGTATTTGTAACTAACTTAACCATATTTGTAATAATAATTAAGATAAATAACTCATGAAATTATGTGTAATTTTCATTATTTTCGTAAAACATGTGTCGAATTACGTGTTTTATTGAAATTAAATTATCAATATATCGAGGTAATTTCTAAGGCCATTTACCTATTATGAAATTTGCATTTTAGTATTTATTTGTGTTAAAAAAGAAACAGCAAAATGTTTAAAGAAATTGATGATATAGACAATTTTGTATATAAACTGACCGGGGCTATATATTTCCACTTCAATCAATGGTACAATTGTTCATATATTATGCCAATAAATACCGATTATGACAGAATCGATGGCAACCTTACGATCATTATGCGACTCCCGGCTTTCTTAGGCGGAATGGTATGTATATCAAGAATATTCTGTGCGATCATTATTGAATTATATATTTATAATTTATTTAAAATAACTTTTATAAGCCCATGGAAAGTGGTATCCTATTCCCTTTGGTTAAATACATAATGTGTAAATTGCATTTAAAAATATTTATTAAGCCGTCGGTAGAAGATAAAGTTACTGATATATCCGTAAGTTATAGAAATGTAGTAGATCATTTAAACTTGTATAACAATTCATAATTATTTTTATATAATATATTACACAGTAGTATAAGTTTGTCCTTATCTCTGAGCCTAGGAGGACGTGCTAACACTGCCGCCATATTTCATATATATGAGTGAATCCAATGATTACAATAACATAGTTTTCTCGCAATTATATCAATTGAATATTTTGACCACAAATATACTCATCGAAGACAAGACTTTACTATCGTTTGTACATCTGTTTGATAAATGGGTGAGAAATTGGATTTTTTCAATTATATTTCGTATTACACAACAAAATTAATTATTAATAAACTTTTGCCTTTTCATGTCACCAACAAATTAAACAAAAGGTATGGTTAGCTATATTGGTGTCATTTGTATCCCTATTACTCGTTTGCAAGCAATTGGTGTCAAACCAATCGTATTTCAAACTTTACAAACAAATGTCGTTCCAATCGAGCGATTACTTCAAAATATTGAAAAACCTATGGCACGACGACAGAAATCTTGGCACAAGAGTCTCATTGATAATAGTGATCACAATATGGCTTCTGATGGCCACTATACTAATCCACTGTTTTTCGCAGTCTATGCTCAGCGCATACTTTGACCATCAGATTAAGCCAATGATTACAGACATAGATCAAGTTGTGGATAATGAGACCGACTTCGGGGTTGTCATACAGTTCTGGGATAAGGAAAAGTATCAACAAGTTATGCCAAATATTTTTGACAAATTATATCAAATGGAGGGTAGGGTGGAGTGGGTTTTGTTGGCCATGATTAGGGATCATAACCAAAAGATCAGGTTATGTGAGGACATAGCAAAGGGTCGTAAAGTACTACTCGTCAGCTCATTCACCACCGATAGCCTCCTGGATCAGTGCCAACACTACCCGCTGGCCGTAGGGAACAGGTATGCCATGAGCTTCCTGGTAGTCAGTATGTCCAGACGACATCCCTTTTGCCAACGGATAACAGATTTGTGAGTATTTTTGATGATAATTATAGTGATACTCACTTTTATTAATGAATTATTTTTATTTTGTTTAATTAACAGCGCATTGAGAGCGACGAGAGCCGGACTACCTATCCGTACCTTGGCGTTGCTTCAGTTGATCCAACAGATTAGGGGCCGGTATGTATTGGAACAGTACAAAGTCAATCATACCGTATATACCGTACACATGGATAAGCTTCAGGTGATAACAGTTGATGATTGTCTCCGCAATTGGTTTCCCATTCTGTTCACAGCATATATTCTCTCTATTTTTGCGGTTATTTTTGAAAAGTTGTGTTAAAAAAATAAATAATTCATAAAAATTATTAAATAATTAAATTTGTTGTTAACCTTTTTATAAATAATGTTAATAACATGAAATGTTGATTCAAGTATGCTATAATTTTATTTTATTATATCAACTTTGTATTTCATAAGTTTTATAATGACATTCATGGTATGATCATTATACGGTAGAAGTATACAGTACTATAAAAATTATATTAAATTACAAAAACTAGATAATTTAGTATAATGTATTGTGACAATTATTTATAGCATTAATTTGCTATCAAACTTATCAAACATAAATACGGTAGCCTGGTACAAGGTTAATTTTTTAGTCGACTCGTAGTCCTTGCCCTTGTCGTAGCTGCACGTGGGGTCGGATTTGTGTTTAGTTTTCTCGAAATAGTTGTCATCATTACAAACGGGTGTAACACAGCTCTCACGTGACCCTTCATAACGGGATCGTCCACTAGATTAGCCATGTCATCCACTAACTTTTTAAGCACGCTATAATTATGTCATGCATATTAACGACAATTTTTTTGGAAATATATAATTATAATTTACTTATTATATATTATTACTAACTTGTATATTCATGTGTACAAATTAAATAACATTATATTGTTTTTTAAACACAAATGGTTACAAAAAAAACCTAAAAAATAAATATATCATTTATCTAGAATTTAGATTATTATGTAACAAACTACAAAGTATGTGGGTGACAATTCAAATAATTCATTTCAAATTTGTCAAATGTTATGACTTTTATACAGGGTAGAATATTATGATTTGTAATGTACGGTCTCATAACATAAAACTGATATCAACAAAAATTTAACGTTAATTTTTATTATTAAATATTTATTATTATCAAATAAATATTGTTATAGTGTACTTAATTATAGTATCAACAAAATGATTGCTTAAACAGTACAGCACTCACCACAAAATAGTGGCCAGGGTGATATCCGATTGCTTCTCGACCACGAACGCCATATAGTTAGTGACAGTTTTGTAAATGTCATTAAACTCCTTGGCCTTTGCGTTAAAGGCTTTGGTGATGGAAAGGGGGTCTTTGATATCCTTGGAGCAAATACCGGCGAATACCTGTCCCGTTTCACTCGGCTTAAACACTTTCAGCAGACAAACTCTGGTCTTAGTCTTCAAATCTTTGGCGAAATCAAGTCCCGACTGAATCGTCTTCGGATCATATCTATTGATATTTTGAAAAAAAAGGTTTTTTTTTATAAAAATTAATTTATTAAAAGCCTTAAAGTATTTAAAAAATTAAAAGCCTAATACTGTATCGCATGGGGGGGTTGGCAGGACATCATTGGATCGTATGGTTGCCAACCCTACTGTATAGTTAAAGTATTATAGAGTATAAACTCACCCCTTCTTGGCGTCGACGACAGATACCTCATCCTTACAATACTTTTTCAACCCCTCCTCGTCCTCCGGTAATACCTTTCCGAGAATATTCTTGCGATCGAGTAGTTTTTGAACGGTCTCTTTATCCTCGCACCTGGACACTTTTACATTGGACATTTATTTTAATTGTTATAATTGCCATTTATAATCAAGGTAGAGTTAGTATTAATCGATCAATTTGGAAAACCTGGTATATTTACATTGGAATAGTTGTATCATTATCGTAGAGACTATCACCTTGATCACCATCATGATTACTGATGATTTGTAATACTAAAACTATAATAAATATATAGTGTTCAATTTATTGTTTTTATTTATTTTTAAAAATGAAGTTAATTTTGCATATTACCTTATATTTAATATCACCTTATGATAATACCTTATGTTTAATATCACATAAAAGTTTTATTAAAAATACACATAGATTGCCAATGTTTATATGTCAATAAATAATATTAATATGGTCGGTAATATATTAATTAGCGATGTTTCATCATTATACATGTATTGTAATATTTTCTCTAACTTTACTTAATTAATCTTGTCATTAATATTAACTATAATTAAAGTTGCTTATTAATATTACTTCAAATTTGCATAGAAATCAATGTAAAACAAATAATAACAGGGAATGGATTGTTTCAAAAGTTATTTTTCCAAATATATTGAATATTATCTAACTAATATAGTAAATTTAAAAATTGTGTTTTAAAATATTTAGACTTTTGGGATAACAAGCATATGTAAGTGCAAATTAATCAAACACAAACTTTTCACCCAGCTTATTGTCTTTATACTGTATAAGTTATACATATCTTGATAGTACGGTGTTTTCCAGTATTGGTTACCTTTCAACAAACAGTATTCCGTAGATATAGTCATTGAGTACCGGTATGTGCAGCTCCTGTAACTTATTATGGTGGCGTACTTTAACAACATGTGCCAAATGTGCATTTAAAAAATGTGTATGTATTTTAATGAAAGTATAGTATAATACAGTACTTGTATTTATAAAATATAATTTTGAATGTATAAAAACAAATAGGATTTTATGTATAAAATGTATATAAAATAATAAATAGACTATTTACACACTAAGAAATGTGTTTCGCATTAAGTGTTTTGAAACCTCCAGCAAAACAGTATGACCAGGATCACAAACGTTATCACACCCATAGCCGCACCCATCACTGTATCGAAATCATAGCCACCTATTGTTGAGTCCGTAGTTTCCGACTCTTTATCACCACTTTTGCTCTCATTATCTCTCATCTCATGATTATTATCGTCATTATTAATGACATCGAAGTCGCCGAAAGATATTATGTTATGTTTTCTCTCATATATATTAGTGTCGAAAGAAATGTTAACTATTTTGAGCTGAAAATCATTCAAATCTATAGTCAATGAGTCGATCACATCATCCAATAGTAGACTGCCTTCCGGTATAAACAGCTTATTATGACGAGTCGTTTGATTGCCTAACGAAATGCTGGCTATCGGCGCGACTTTGTTGGGGTCGGACACGAAGATGTCGGCGCCCAACTCGCGGCCCTCGTATTTGGCGCACAATTCAATGTCGATGGCGTCGTTATAGTAGATAATCCTGTCGATAGACGGGCTGTCGGTGCGAGTGTCGGCCACTTTGCACACCATCGATGAGGGCATGGGGTAGACCTCCACTTTCAAGGGGTGTCTGGTTTGTCGCGACTTGAGTACACATTTTAATACCGTTTGTTGGCTACTATTGAGGACCTGTTTTATTAGACAAATAGATAAGTACATATGAACCAATGTTTTAGACATTGTGCTAGATTATACTAAAGTTTGAACTAGTTTATGTAGGAATTTTGTATTACTTTAATAACAAGTTATGAGTTTTCTGTCTAAAAAAATATTCTCATAATTAGTACTTACTATTTGTCATAATGTTATGCATATTTGTTTTATATAAAGTAATAAATTAATAACTTTTGACTAAAAAACTTTCTAAAAGAAAAACTTAATAATAAATTAAATATAGAAAAATGAGTTCAATGTTATGGAAATATTTTTGTTACTTGATATGAATTATTACCGGTATTTCTCAATAGGATTTTGGTGTAGAAGTAAATGTTAGTCTTATCTATGAATTGAAAGTACTGTAAGTGCCAAACGAATTAGAAATGTGAATAAAAAAGATAAATTATATATATTATAATATTTATACCTGTACATTCTCGTGACTATTTTAAGCATTTATCATAAATTAAATATTGAAATTAATATAACAGCAGAATATGGGAAAGTATTTCATTGGATATGAAATGAAATTCATGTTCACAAAAATTTTTGTTTTTATTTTTTCTAAACTATTAAGTATAGCTATTATTAGTTAGTAAAGTATATAAAAATGAGTGTATATTAAATTAGCAAATTAATTATAAAATAATATTTAAATAGTTAAACGCATGAAGTATATAAAATCATTTGCAAAATATCCTAATTATGATATAAATTGCAGAATAAAATTATCTTTAAATCTGAATAAATCTATGAAAAATGCACTTTAATTAAGTATTCAAAGTTTTTAGTTAAGATTTTACCAAGTCAAACTATTTTTGCATTAAACTATTTGTGAGATACTATTAGAAAATTAGCGAAATTAGTAATTTAATCAAAATAAAGACTATTTGGTGCAAGTTCATTGCACTTACCAGAGTCGACAAAAATGCAGTCAATGTAATTGTGAACTTAACAAACATAATTTCAAAAATTAAAAATATTTATAAGTTTACTGAAAATAATTAATATATTTCTCTATTACCGCGGCTTTTGTCACTCATTTATATTGAGCTATAATTGTCTTTTACATTATACTTAAGACTTTGTCTATACATCACATGAGATAATCGGAGACAACCTGATAACAAGTGTCTCTAAAGGGAAGGGTAGAGGTATTGGTGGCACCATTGGGTGCTGTAGTCGTGTCTTTGATAGTTAAGGGTTATGTCAACACTATTCCTGTGATCCGTATTTGCAATTCAAAGACTTTATGCCAAGAAATTGAGTGCTTTTATCGATAACACAAAGTGTCAAACAAACTATGAAATGACCACTTCTTGTGATCTGATTCACTATCACCTATATAAGTGGACAGTTATCTTAAACAAATAGATAGTATAAAACATTAAAAAGTAGCTAAACTGTATATAATTTGCATGATTGTATTATTTATTATAATTTTAATGAATGCGTTATTAATTTTTGTTGAGTTATAAAGCAAATAAATGTTTATCATTGACAATCTGTCAGTTAAGGTTTATTATCTATTCAAATATTTTACACAATACTTTACTGGTATTTAAAGTATAAAATAGTATACAGTTCAATATTTATTAATATACATAAATTTAATTCAAATAATGTTTAATTTCACTCATATATGGATTTGACAAAAATTTTATTCAAAATATAGTGTTTTAAAATTGGCTCATTTTTTACTTTTAAAGATAATATTCCTAGAATAATTTTCCTTATCTAAACAATACTCGAACAATTTTATCCTGTTAATTCAATTTAAATTTAGTACAAAATTATGACAACAAATATAATAAATAAATCTATGTTTGATCAGAATCTGCCTAAGAATGATAAACAGTTGCTATAAATTGTCATAAAATATATTAATCTATGATATTTACAGATTATAATCATAAATGATAATAAAATTAGTGTACATCATATATAAATTATACGAATTTTATGCTGAATCATTTTTAATAGTTCTTACATTTTAATGATAATTATTTGCAATTGAGTTGTTGTAACAAATTGTTGTCAAATAAATTGTTATAAATGTGTATTTTATTCATTCATACAATTTGTAACACGTTTATAACTAAAGTACACAATTAAATTAATTGCTAAATTATTTGATTCATTGATAAAACATACATAACCTTACAATAAATGTAGTTTTATACATTGATTATATTAAATGCGATATAATAGATTTAATCAATTAAAGATTTCATAAAAGNTTATACATTGATTATATTAAATGCGATATAATAGATTTAATCAATTAAAGATTTCATAAAAGTATTAAATATTTTTGTTATTTAAAGTCACGATTTTATTATAGATTATAATTAATTAAATTATTTTCTGTTGGCTTAACACGTAATGAAATACTAAATACTATTATAAAACAATTTTTAAAATATTTATTGTAATCAAAATAGAAAATCATTTAGTATTGTGTTAACTGTTTATTAGTAATAAAGTTAACATTGTTATATACCTATTAAAAATTAATTAATTACAAAAACTGACAATAACTATTGGTAGATAGTGACAAATAATTTATATACTGTATATATATTCAAAATATTGTATCACCTCCTGGTGCTGACTAATCACTGAATTTATAATAATTGTCTGCAAATTAATTTTCACTTTGTTTTGTGATGTTATCAATGAAACAATTATCACTTTTGTAATATGTTTTAAGTTGAGTTAAATATTTAGATACTATTAATAATATTTGTATTTGATAAAAAATAATGTACTTTTATATAACATTTTTCATGATATCGTTTCAATTAATAAAATCGCAATTAGTTTCAAATGTGTTTGTCGTCGACAATGGTGTGTCCCCTGAATTACCCGAAAGTAATTACATTTATTTGTGATATTTTAAAACTTATAAAAATTATAATAATTTCATGTTTCTAAATTACCTAGCAAATCATCCATTAATTATTGACACAACATTTAAGGCTAAAGACTTAAGTGTTATTAATTTAGCAAAAGAGGTAAATTATTTCTAATAAAAGTTGTATCTTGTTGAATGCCAAGCTCATTTAAGTATACGTACAGGAGTTCACAGTCGACTACTTCATTGAATTTCAATGGAAACTCAGTGCAAACTATTGCCTGAAAGCTATCGACAAGTTTTCTACAAATAAAACTGATTTTGCAAAACCAATACTGATTACTGGGAAAGGTATTGCTAAGTATATATGGCTACCGGACCTCATACCGCAAGGGGTCCGGGCTATGTCTGTGGTCACTGAACCGATCATTGCGCTGAATGTAAACACAAATGGATTTTGTTTTCTTAAACTAAATAAAAGGTTAGAAATACTCTTATTTCAAGATTCAATTAGTTTTTAAAACTTTATTATTTTACAATAGAGAAATGGCAACAATAGGCTGTCCACTGGATTTACGCGCATACCCTTTCGACACCCAAGTCTGTAGTTTTAAAATGAGAAGTTGTGAGTGATTTGCCATTAATTAAATACAAGTTTTAATAGACATTAAGTCAGCAGTTTAGTTTTAAAGCCTTTCATAATATAAATTTTTAGTATAATTTAATTAACACTTTAATTGGAAAACTTTTATATTTGTAGCCAACTATCCCATCAATGCAATTCAATACGAGTGGCACTCTAGTAATTTAGGTGACAGTTCCCCACCACCCGTCATAATACGCCCAAACTATAAGTTAATATATACTAGCCATCAGTTTAATGAGTCGGCGCCCAATGGAGGTATTCATTTGTTTTATGCAAACAATTAACTATAAATTTAATTATAATTTTTGTCATAACATATAGTGATCTACTCGTACCTAATGGTCCAGTATCTATTTAATCGACACATAACTATATTTAGCGTACAGTTTTTCTACCCGACCACTTTGATCGTGTTTATAGCCTACTGTTCCGGTTGGATATCTGTGGACTCGGGTCCCGGTAGGTTCCTGTTATGTATACTACCGTTCCTCACACTAGTGGCCACATTCAATGGTGTGAAAGGACAGTTACCACCAGTTTGCTATGTTGTCGTAAGTAATTAAATCATAAATTACATGTTGTGTAATCGTATAAATATGTGCTTGCTATTTGTTTGATAAATTCATACAATCCAATAAGTAGAAAATAAGATCCTAGTTACTTTAGTTAGTAAAGTATATAAAAATGAGTGTATATTAAATTAGCAAATTAATTATAAAATAATATTTAAATAGTTAAACGCATGAAGTATATAAAATCATTTGCAAAATATCCTAATTATGATATAAATTACAGAATAAAATTATCATTAAATCTGAATAAATCTATGAAAAATGCACTTTTATTAAGTATTCAAAGTTTTTAATTAAGATTTTACCAAGTCAAACTATTTTTGCATTAAACTATTTGTGAGATACTATTAGAAAATTAGCGAAATTAGTAATTTAATCAAAATAAAAACTATTTGGTGCAAGTTCATTGCACTTACCAGAGTCGACAATAATGCAGTCAATGTAATTGTGAACTTAAAAAACATTATAAATTAAAAAATTAAAATATTTATAAGTTTACTGAAAATAATTAATATATTTCTCTATTACCGCGGCTTTTGTCACTCATTTATATTCAGCTATAATTGTCTTTTACATTATACTTAAGACTTTGTCTATACATCACATGAAATAATCTGAGACAACCTGATAACAAGTGTCTCTAAAGGGAAGGGTAGAGGTATTGGTGGCACCATTGGGTGCTGTAGTCGTGTCTTTGATAGTTAAGGGTTATGTCAACACTATTCCTGTGATCCGTGTTTGCAATCCAAAGACTTTATGCCAAGAAATTGAGTGCTTTTATCGATAACACAAAGTGTCAAACAAACTATGAAATGACCACTTCTTGTGAACTGATTCACTATCACCTATAGAAATGGACAGTTATCTTAAACAAATAGATAGTATAAAGCATTAAAAAGTAGCTAAACTGTATATAATTTGCATGATTGTATTATTTATTATAATATTAATTAATGACTTATTTTTGTTGAGTTATAAAGCAAATAAATGTTTATCATTGACAACCTGTCAGTTAAGGTTTATTTTCTACTCAAATATTTTACACAATACTTTACAGGTACTCTATATAAAGTATAAAATAGTATACAGTTCAATATTTATTAATATACAGAAATTGAATTCAAATAATGTTTAATTTCATTGATAAATAGATATGACTAAAATTTATTCAAAATACAGTGTTTTAAAATTTGCTCATTTTTTACTTTTTAAGATAATATTCCTAGAATAATTTTCCTTATCTAAACAATACTCGAACAATTTTATCCTGTTAATTCAATTTAAATTTAGTACAAAATAATGACAACAAATATAATAAATCAATTTATGTTTGATCAGAATAAGCTTAAGAATTATAAACAGTTACTATAAATTGTCATAAAATATAATATCATATATTATTTTATGATATTTACAGATTATAATCATGAATGATAATAAAATTAGTGTACATCATATATAAATTATACGAATTTTATGCTGAATCATTTTTAATAGTTATTACATTTTAATGATAATTATTTGCAATTGAGTTGTTGTAACAAATTGTTGTCAAATAAATTGTTATAAATGTGTATTTTATTCATTCATACAATTTGTAACACGTTTATAACTAAAGTACATCAATAAATTAATTGCTAAATTATTTGATTCATTGATAAAACATACATAACCTTACAATAAATGTAGTTTTATACATTGATTATATTAAATGCGATATAATAGATTTAATCAATTAAAGATTTCATAAAAG